AGTTGTTTTTAATTTAAAGAGGAGTTATACTTTAAGGCAGAGGTAGGCAAAATACAGCCCACTGCTCCACATTGGGTTGAGCCCCACCCACTCCTGCTGGGGCAGCCCACACTGTTCTCCCCCAGCCAGCGCACTGCTTTTGGCAGGGCTCTTTCCAGTGTGGCTGCAGCCAACTGAATGGTCCTCTGCTCCTTTCACTTCCAGTGGGAACAGCTGGGCTGTAGCTTCCCCCACCCCGCCTGCCTGCCCGAACCAGCACAGCAGGGACAGGGGCACAGGAGCAGGGGCAGGAATGGGAGGAGGAGCAGCTGCTGGAGGTGAGGGGAGCACAGCAGCACCCAGCCAGCTGCAGTTGCACCTGGAACAGCTCCACTGGAAGCTGCACACTGGCTGGGGTTGGGGCCAGTGGGGATTTTTCTGCTCCCCTTGCCTCTAGCTGCTGCTGCTGTTGCTGCGGTGCTACTCAAGGCAGGCAGGCGGGAAACTTCAGCCAGGCAGCTCCTGCCCAGCACGTGTAGCTCTGGCTCTAGCTCTCAGCTGCCTTCCATCTGCTCCCCCCACCACCCACAGGTGGATGCTCATCGTGCCAGGCAGGCAGACCGGGGGGAAAGGCAGCTGGGAGTAAAAGCCAGAGCTTCACATGCTAGACAGGAGCCACCTGGCTGAAGCTTTGCCACCTGCCTGCCCAGAGCAATGCCATAGGAGCAAGAGTAGCAGCCAGTACAGCTGGAAGCAAGGGAAGCAGAACAGCCTCACCGGCCCTGGCATTGGCCAGTGTGCAGCTTCTCATGGGGCTGTTCCAGGTATGGCTGCAGCTGCGCACATGCCGCTGTGCTCTCTTCACCTCCTGGTGACAATGTGAGCCTGGTTGGCTGCAGCCATGTTGGGAACAATCCCACCCGAAACTATGTTTTGGCTGGGGTCCAAACTGGGGCTGGGGCGGGTGACTGTGGGTGGGAGTGTGGCTCTGGCTGCCCTTGCTGGAGCTCAGCCGCATGTGGAGTGCTGCAGGGGCAGCCACCAGCCGGGCAAGCTCTGCTGCACTCATCCCCTGCCTCCCTCTCCCTCCCTTCACCCCCCAGCTGGCTCCCAGGCAAACCCCCCACTGCCACATGCACACTCCCCACTCCACACAAACCCCTGCCACCCCTCTTCCACACATAGCAGGGCATGCAGGGAGTGGATCATGCCTGTCCCACTTCTGAACACTGCTCCCCACCCACCCAAAGCTCCATAGGGGGTTTTGATGAGTTGGTGGAGGGGCGGGATGCTGACCTGGCCCATGACAGCTCATCAAAACTCCCTATGTGGCCCTCAGGCCTAAATAATTGCCCCTGCTTTAAGGTCATCATATAACAACAGCTTTTCACTGATTTTAAAACCGAGAGGCAGCAGATATAAAATTATTCCAGTGTCCTTTCCCATCTGTAGGTAAATGTTATTGAGGCTTGAAAAATGGGGCCTACATCAGTGACCTTTTTTGACAATATGAAAATGTGAGGATTATTCTAGTAATTTCTTATTTACTTTTTGCCATATATATGAAATGGTGAAAGGAAATGCTTTGATAATAGAACTGTAACAGTGGTAGAAACATAAATAACCATTGTAAGAGTTTATTACTGTCATCTACTAAGACATAATTGCTTTAGCAAAAATACCTATTCTTAAGAAATTCCAGTAGAGTAGTTGTAGCATGGTTTAATAACTATGTTACTGTTCTTATTCAAATGTAATTGTTAACCAGCTATGATAGCAAATTGGTTGTTTACTATTAGCTCAGAACTGTTTCTTAAAGAACACCATGAACACACTATATTTAAAATGTACATGAAACATTAACCACTGACCTCATGCATAACATGTGCAAGAAACAAGGCAAAATAAAAATAAGATTCCTCTTCTGTTATGCAAAATACGTGACTACAGGGCTGCGTGTGTTAGCATACATGAACCTCAAGAGACTTCTCCGCTCATTAATTTACCAAAGCAAGACTGAAGTAACATAAGACGTTCCCATTTCTTTTCCCCACCACAAACTACCTCAATATGTGCTACTATCGGCATATTGCCTGCAAATGTTGTACCACAGAAATGGATCGTAGACGCTAAGTGGAATTAAAGAGTAGCTACCTAGTTATTAAATCATGGCTACAAATGACTTGATATAATCTGAAGTCAGATTACAAATGATCTAGATTACAAACATATATAAACAAATTTGCAAGCTGAATTTTAAAGTTGCCATATAGAAAGGAAATATCTCTGATCTTTCTGAAGTTGGGTCAGGAGTGCCAGGAAGGATTTTGTTATAGTGTCAAACCTCTGGGTTATCAATGAATAATGCCAAACTGAAACTACAGTTTAAACAACTACGTTTGCTTAAGGGTTTTTCACCCACCAAAATGCCCATCAAAGTCTAGGTTAAAGGTCAAGGATGATTCTTTGACATTGTTTAGCAATGGTTGGCCAGTTATGCCATGACACATTGGAAAGACAGTTACCAACGACTGTATACTAAGAGGTTATATAAATAGTGTTCCGCATTCTCAGTTTTTACCGAGTTTCACTGATAAATTCCCTGATTTTTTTTTTTTTTTTTTTTTTTTAAGTCATACAGTTTTTACTAATTTACACCCATTTTTCAGTTCAAATCCCTGTTAATTGGCATGAGTGGGGAATGGCCCTGGGGAATGGCCCATTCCCCACTCATGCCAGTTAACAGGGATTTGAACTGAAAAACTGGAGGTGCTGGTAAGCTAGAAGTGCCACTGTGCCAGTTATCTGAGGCATAGGTTTCCGGCAGGGGGTGGGGGCGGTGGCAGCAGCCACATGTGGGGGCTGGGGGCTGGGGGAGGGTGGCTGGAGCCGCTGTCTGGGGGTGCAGGGCTCCTGGCTCTGACCCTGGGTGAGGCGGGATGGGCCACAGTAATCGATCCTGAGGCAGGCAGGTCTAAGCTGCACACTGGCAGCTCTGACTTCAGCCCTGCCCCAGGCTCTGGGAGCTGGGAGCCCCACCGGGGGGAGGGCAGGCAGGAAAACTTGGCCCCATTCCCTGTGGTGGGCACTGTACCCAGCCACTCTGCACAGGCTCGCTGGGCTGGAGCCATTGTCCAGGGGCACAGGGCTCCTGGCTCTGACCGCAGGCAGGGCAAGAGGTGCCAAGGTTGAGGTCTGGTTGCCTCCTCCACTTCTGGCCATGCACCACTACCCACTCCCCCAAACACCAGGGCAACCCAGCAGCAGGCTGCTGCAGCAGGGGGGAGGGGCCTGAATGCAGCCAGGGAAGAAAGGCAGGGCACGGTGGCATGTGCTTCCTGCCACTGATCCAGGGGCATGTGTGCCCTGAGAAGAGCCTAGCATGGGTGCCCCAGCACACAGCCCATATGGGCGCATGGCAGCAAGAGCTGCTCCCCCCTGCCCTGCACCCAGTGACAGCTGCCCCTGCTTTGCTCCCTGCTGCAGCCCCAGGAGCGGCCGAGGGGCTGTGCTATGCCCCTCCCCGCATCCCTTCCCTACTCCCAGCCTCCTCCCTCTGTGACCACCAGTTTTTTACCCTGATTTAAGCTGTTTTTTTTCCTTTTATTCTTTTTATCCTGATTTCATCCTGGTTTTTATGTTTCGAAGATAAACCCTCCAAAAATCCCAGATTTTTTTTTTTTAATAAAAACTGAGAATGCAAAACACTATAAAGAAACAATGAAGATCAAGGAAAAACATGAAAATCCTGACTGCTTCTCCCAAGGATAGGGCAAATGTGATAGTTAACACAGTCAGGGCTAGACCCTACTTGTCGAGTTGTAGGGGTTGCATGCAGTTCCTGAATTCTACTTCTGTCTACTTTTAGGGCTGATTACAGGAAAGATTTGAACAGTGTATCCATATTTACAAGGAGGCCAGTGGCAGAACATGTACACTGTAGCTACAAGTCTAGAGGGAGAATTCAGCCTCTGAGGGTACAGTGTGTGTTAGCCAGACAACCCTGACTATACCCTGGTCAGCTGGTCCTGCACACCCAAGAGGCTTGAGAATAGCTACCTGACGCAACCCTAGAGCATTTGTGCTGGTGTTTCTAGGTTGAGAGAGCACTAGAATTGGGCTCTAAATAAGAAAAGGTAGCGATGGTTCCAAAAAACCCACTATAATTCTCCTCTTCACTGGAAACTGGAAGTCTCCATCTATACTATGTTAATGTAGGTGGCTGGCTGGGTATTTGGTCTGTGATGAAATATTCACAAAAAGAGGGTTTTGGGTTTTTTTTGTTTTGTTTTGTTGTGTTGTGTTGTGTGTTTTTTCTTCTGATAGGCACCAGTTTAGTGAAGCATTTTAAATATGTGCCTAACTTCAGGTGTGTGAGCTGTCTTATCTAAATCAGTGGAATTTAAGAATCTTGCTGAATCAGGGCCTTAATGCTGGCCCTCATCAACTATTTCCCTTCCTTTCTATTGCATCAAAAACCTTTGTTTGTGGTGGTGATGTCATCCATTGAAGAAAGGAAAAAAGAAAAGAAATAAAATGGCCTTGGTCCTCTGGCACAGACCAGTTCATTCAGTGCAGAGAATGGGGGTGTCTTTTTCTTCCTAGCAGGCAGGACATTGAGCCAGATCTAGTATCAGTATATGCATACCAATCCCATTCATTGTAGAGAGTTCCATGTACCCAAAGGAACAATATGACTTATAGCTAGAAGGAATCATAGGCCTTTTAATAATGGGCATTCACTTGTTTTGTTGCACATGGGCTTGGGCAAATTATTGCTTCTCTGAAGAATTCACTGCAGCAGCTGAATTTAAAAGAAAGAAACAGCATTTATTTATGGAAGAAATGTTTTTTTCCATATTAAAAATGGAACACCTGCACCCTTTAAGTCTATGGCAAATATCGATAGGTATAGACCAGCCTCTTCCCTCCCTACTGATGGAAGAGAATGTGGTAGTAGGCCAAGGGTTAATTACTGCTTCAGAGAAATAATATTCAACATGTGTTATATTTCTTGGCAGGCTGACTTAAATTGCAACATTCAGGATGACACAGGAGCATTTTATGGAGTAACCAGCCAGTACGAGAGCTCAGAAAATATGACAATCACCTGTTCCACCAAAGTCTGTTCATTTGGGAAGCAAGTAGTAGAAAAAGTAGAGGTAAGGTTATCCACTGGTTGGAGTTCCTCTGTTGGCTTCTGATTATGTAGTTCTGCCAAGATAATTTCCGTACAAAATGGATGACCGATTTTCTTTGTTTTACTTAGTGGTCTTATCTCTTCATTCCTACCCCCCCCCCCCC